AAAGAAAAATAATACAAACAATTATTGTTCTGTAATTAACCTCCTTTCTAGTAGAATCAAATGCTAAGGAGAGGGGCATGGTATTGTGGGTGTTTGGGAGAAATATAAAGCAGAAATGGGATAGAGCATTAGTCAGTTTTCAGCATATGGCTTTCTTCTTGCAAAAATATCTCCATTCGGTGTTCACAACACTACTCACACCTGATTTTCTTCTAACCTGGAACTTGTGCCTTCTTGGACTCCATTTCTGGTTCCTCCGCCTCTGCTAACCCTTAACTCTGTCCTCCCCCCTCTTTTCTCTCCAAATTCCTTCTCTAGGTGATCTCATCCTCTTCTATGGCTTAAAATAACATTTTTGTACTGATGACTCATAAATCTCTATCTCCAGCTCTTACCACTCCCCTGGGCTCTAGATTTATATACCCAACTGCCTACTTGACATCACCTCTGAGCTGTCTAATAGACATCTCTAATTTAGTATTTTCAAAATAAAATTCTTGATTTACCCACAGCCGTCTTCCCCATCTCTCAGTTGCCGGTATCACCACCAATCAAGTTTCTCGGGCCAAAACACTAGCAATAACCCTTATTTTCTCACTTTTCTTCACATCTCTCATCTAATCTATCTGCAAATCTTGTCTACTCTTATTTCCAAAATACATTCAAGATCTCACCACTTATCACCATCTCTATTGCTACAACCCCAATCCAAATGACTAATATCTCACAGCTGGGCTGCAATGGGCTGCTTCCACTCTTCCCCTGCCAGAATTCATTCTCCATGCAGTAGCCAGCCAGAGTGATCTTTTTAAAGCATAAAACAGATCAAATGGATCCATTGCTTAAAAGCTTTCAATAGTTCCACTGGGTTTAGAGTAAAACAGAAACTTCCCAACATGACCAACAAAACTGTACACAATGCACTCCTTGCCAGCCTCTGGACATGACCTAATACTTCTCTCCTCACCATTCTCCCAACTCCCCGGCCTTCTTTCTGTCCTTCCAACACACTGAGCTCCTTCACATCTCTGGCCTTTTTCACCTGCTGTTCTTTCTGCATAGAATGTTCTTTCCTCAGACCTTTTATGATTGCCTCTTCCCCTCCTGTGAGTCTCAGCTCAAATGTCCCCCACTTACAATGGTTTTGCTGGCCATTCCAGTAAAAACAATTTCTTCCATTCTCTCCTCCAAGTTTCACTATATACCACTACCCAGTTTCATTATTTTAAAAACACATTATATGAAAACTGTTTTTTGTTTGTTTGTTTGTTTTTGTTTTTAATTGAGACGGTCTTGTTCTGTCATCCAGGCTGAAGTGCAGTGGTGCAATCTCGGCTCACCGCAACCTCCACCTCTCAGGTTCGAGCGATTCCCATGCCTCAGCTTTCCTAGTAGCTTTCCTAGTAACTACAGGCATGCGCCATCACGCCCGGCTAATTTTTGTATTTTTACTAGAGACTGGGTTCCGCCATGTTGCCTACGCTGGCCTCAAACTCCTGGCTTCAAGTAATCTGCCTGACTCGGCCTCGCCAAGTGTTGGGATTACAGGTGTAAACCACTGCACCCGGCCCAAAAAGCATTTCTTCATGTTCATCATTTGTTATCTTTCTCTGCCCCTCTAGAAAATGAGACGCGAAAAGACAACCCTATCCAAAAGAAAGGCTTGCACTTTGGGAGGCCAAGGCGGGCAGATCACGAAGTCAGGAGTTCGAGACTATCCTGGCTAACACGGTGAAACCCATCTCTACTAAACATACAAAAAATTAGCTGGGCGTTGTGGCACGCGCCTGTAGTCCCAGCTACTTGGAAGGCTGAGGCAGGAGAATTGCTTAAACCCGGGAGGCAGAGGTTGCAGCGAGCCGAGATCCTGCCACTGCCCTCTGGCCTGGGCGTCAGAGAAAAACTCCATCTCAGGAAAAAAAAAAAAAAAAGAGAAAATCTCCTGGTCAATGAAAGCTGAGCTTTATGGTACCGAAAGGGAGGCCAAGATTCTACAAAGATTAGATGAATTATCCCACAATAGTATCCACTTATGATCAAGGAATTCATTAAAAGTCATCAAGAAGGAGTCAGGCTGGGTTCAGTGACTCACATCTGAAATCCCAGCACTTTGGGAGGGCAAGGTAGGAGGACTGCTTCAGGCCAGGAATTCAAGACCAGCCTGGGCAGCATAGTAAGATCACATCTTTACAAAAATTAGAAAATTAGCGAGGCATGGTGGTGCATGCCTGTAGTCCTAGCTACTTGGGAGGCTGAGTCTGAAGAGTTGCTTTAACCCAGGAGTTCCAGTCTCAGTAAGCCATTATTGTTCCACTGCACTCCAGCCTAGTTACAAAGCAAGACTCTATCTCCAAAAATAAAAAATAAGAAAACAAAAAGAAGAAACATTCAGATTAAAACACTGGTTTCTGGAATCCCTTGACCCAGGGAATATGTTCTAGTTAGAAAATACAGATATTCTAGTCATTTAGGTGGACTTTCAATTTTAAATAAACAAATCATCATGTTTTTTCTGTAATCTCTTAGAAGTTTGAATGTGTAGTCCAGTTGCCTGGGACAAAATCATTTAATAACAATCAAGTTTCAGGGGTCTACAAAACTGAAAACTAGATTTCTCTTATTCTGGTCAATTTTTAAAAGTATCTTTTTAGAAAAAGAATTTGAGTAATACATCAATATTAAAAACATAAAGTCTGTGGCATTGGCTCAGTGATCAGGTGGCAGGCAGCAACGAATCTTCGGTTGCAGCTGGAATGACAGCAATCTATGTTATATGCACAAATGAGCTCTTTTGTAAAATTGTCACCTGTGAAAACTTAAAAGGAAGGTAATGTACTTTGTGAACTTGTAGCTATGGGCGAAATGATTGAAAAATAGAACTTTTCTAGCAAGTGTCAATCACTGTTGGCTTCATTTGACAAAATACTGCAATAAAACAATGAGCTAGGATCAGAATTTTAATAAGCAAGCAAGTATGAAAGACAACAGAGATTGTCTTTCAACAAGAAAATTTGAAGACTTGGAGAGTTGGACAAGGCAATTGTTTCTTATCACTAATTAGAGACAGACTGATAAGAATACAGTCTTGCATCAAAGAATAAATCAAGAATATGGTTTCCACACAAGTTTTTAAACTTCTGAATGGGTTAACATAGCAACCCAATTAGTCTTTCATATGGACAAAATGACCCATTTTTTTTTTTTTAAAGACTGAAGCTGTGACTCTTCTGCTGAAATTTAGTTGGCTTAAGATATGTACAGTTCAGAGAAAACACAGAGAAGCATGTATCAAAAAAACTGTGTATGGGGCTATTGGCACAAGAAGTTGACCATAAACAACTACAAGAAAGAAGCTGATTACTTTTTTGAGAAACTTGTATGGCCAAAGAAATAATGAACCTTCTAAAACTTTTGTGTAAAGACAAAAACATTAACAATGGTTAGGTATGTGAACTTCTATGAGCAAGTATCAGACTAAGAAAGCTTCTCATCCTTGAAGGAGTGTACATTCTGTAATGCACTCTGCAGATGTAGCCAAGGCAACAATAGAAAAGAAAGAACTTCCAAAGAACAAAATTAAGGGCCGTGGACTGCAGAACCCCTCCCCAGGAACCAAATCAGAACCTAATTAAGAGCTTTCCTCATCCCAGGGAATGCTGACTGGCAGTAAAATATCAGAATTTGTAAGAACCAGCCTTGGCAATATTATAGACACCTCGCCCCTAATCTGCTGTTTTGTCCTAAGTGTCAGGGGGAAGAGATCATCTTTGTTTTGTTTTGTTTTGTTTTGTTTTGTTTTTCAGTTGATTTTATAATCAGAAGGAGCCACATCCAGACCTGATAAAGAGACTACTTGGTTACCACCCAGAAACTATAGACATAATAGTTTTATGCCATAAAACTGGATAAGTTTATTCTGTAAGACTGGATAAGGCTTTGGGGTTGTTTCCATAGGGACACACTGAGTGAGCTGAATACTGATGATCATAAGTGATATCCTTAGTACTGTTCACAAAATATTTCTAATTCTCTCATACTCATTTACGTGGAGGATTATAATGTCTTGCTCTCTTTTTCATGGATGGGACACGTGACTGGATCTGACCAATGAGTTTGAGTAGAAGCAACATTTTACTTCCAGGTTAGAGCCATTAATTCCCAGTGTGAAACCTTCCAGGGCTCCTTTCTGTATGACATTGTGAACACCATTTGTTTCAATGCTATCTTCAGTCCGGGATCCTGAGCGACTGATGAGCCAAGCTTCCCTGCTGATTCACAATAGCCATATAGCACAAGTATTGTTGTTTTAAGTCATGAAAATTTCAGAGTTTTTGTTCTTTGAGACTGTGCCTGAGTCTCTGGTAAAGTTCCTTCTTTGACAACATTTGAAAAGTTTTTTATTTTATCATTTTATAGCAATGGATTAATACTCTGTGTACTGTTTTACAACCTACTCATAAAAACAGTCGCATGTATCTTTCTGTATCCTTTATATATTTTTATGCAACATCAGCATTCATAGCTGCCTAATAATCCATAATAGAGACGTTATATAATTTTTACTCAATCCCACATTGATAAAACTAAATGAGACATTTCAAGCATTTAGTATTATAAATAATAATATAATGTGTATTCCTACAGCTAAATTTTAATAGTAGATTCAAGACTACTTCCAATTCTTAGGATTTGTGCATCAAAGCATATGTAAAATTTTAAAGATTTTGACATTTATTCATTTATTCAGGTTTCATTCTAGGCATGAGGGATAGTAATAAATAAGATGCACAAAGCCTTCACAGAGCATATTTCCAAGTTGTTTTCAGAGAGTCTATTCATGTCCTCTAATCCACCCTACTACCAAAAAAGTGAATGCCCACATTCCCACACTGTTGGCCACATTGCTTATGAGCATGTAAAAATTGTCTCTCTTGTTAGCCATAACATCATCTGTCCAGAATGTCTCACCTATATTTGAAGATGACAAGAATGATACTTACCCCACAACCACAGGCCAACCAAAAGATGCTTGTTTATTCTCAGAAGAGTGAACATCACAAACTACAACGAGTAGTCAACCTTCTCTATCAACTTGGGAAGAGGGGCAAATCCTGCATGACCATTATCTACTTTGTAGCATTTCTTCCATTGTACATGTTGTTTGCATCTCTTTTTCTCAATAGACTATCAGGTCCTTGAAAAGAACAAGGAAGAATGCTTAAAGAGGTGTTAAGGCAGTCAGTTACTCAAGCCAAGCTGCAGGAGATAGGGGATGAATCACAACTCTGCTTATACCTTGCAGCTTCACTATGTCAGTGGCAACAAACAGTGAGTGCCTGTGCTTGCCTCTGCTCACATCATCTCCCTCCACCGATAGGCAAGTTAATTATACAAATAAAGGCAGCAACTGTTGTGCAGTTGAAAGAGCCTGGTCACAGAAACTGGTAATCTTTTGCAGAAAAATGGAGTTGGAGAAACAGCTGTAAGTGGGCATGATTTATGTAGATAAAAGTTTCCTACTTACATTATAAGAAAAACCAAAATAAATGAAAGTAGATGGCTATAGATTCTTCTTTCACACTAATTCCACATGCACAGCAATGGTGATGTGGAGAACAGAATTTCATACCCCAAATCCATGGAACTTAAAATTCAAACTCAAAACAACTGTTCACTGAAATTTCACTGGCAAGTTTCTATGATGAAGCTTTAAGGATGATTATTTTTTAAGTCTCTCAAGGGAGGATTTGGGGAAGAGCCTAAAAGGAATATGATTTTGATATTTTATAAGGAGAATATTATTTTTCAATAAGATATGAAATATTTACTGTCAGTGATGGTGTGCTGAGTGATTTGTAGATATTACAGAGACAACATAGCATTTAAGCGTGCACTTCCTCGTACATAAGCAATAATTTAAGCTATATATCAAAACCTTAAAAAAAATTCCAAACCCCAGTGGAATAGAAATTGGCTATCTCCAAAAGTAAGCGTGTGTATATCCTTAACATTATTAGTTCTCTGTGGGTTTTCTCCAAATATTCCCACTTAGATTTTCCCACCAAACTTGTAAATTTTGGTCAAACACCGTGAAGTGGTGTGCAATATAGAGATGGAAAAGGAAACCTGATAGACTTACTGCCCTATTTAATTTGCCAGAATGATTTTCTTTCCTTTTGGGTTTCTTTCTGGGTCCTTGAGAAATGTTTTGTCTTTCTCTAGAGTGGGAGTGCAATGTATAAATCTTCCAAAAGCTTGGCTTACACTTCGTCTCTTACTCATAGAAAAAATTTTCCAGCAGGCTTTCAGCTTTCTTACATCAACTGCTCTTACCTCACTGACCCAACCTAGTTCCTCCACCTCTTCCACAGAGGCCCTCTGTGCAACTCAGGGCCATCTTCACTACTTCTGTTGATTTTTTTTTAACCTGATTGTATCTCTTTTTCTGTATCTCTAATGTCGGCTTATTTCCATTGCCCTGCATTTATTTATTTTGTTTGTCATACCTAAAATGTCTTCTCTCCAGTATTTATGACCTCAGGCTCTGTATTTCCTTAAAGTCCAGCTCCAGGCTCACCTCTACCTTTAATCCTTCATTGAATTCTCTTGCTCAGTGATGAATATTCTTGGATGTCCCATAGATCAGGCATACAGGATGATCCCACATTTGCTTACATAATAACTTGGGATTACTTATTTTTCAACTTTTTAGGCAGATAAGCATATCTGACTTACCCAGTAAATATAGTAGAAAACTTATTGGACTAGGAATTAGAGCCCTGTGGCCCACCACATAAATTTTTAAATATTACCTTAAGCAAAGTACCTAACAACTGCGTCTTTGTCTTGAAAAGAGAACATAGAATTACAATAACATCATTTTTAAAAGTACTTTCAGTTTTAACATTATGTGAGTCTTCAAGAAAAAAGATGATCTTTTGTTTCCCTTGTGTCTTTCACAACATCTACCACAGAGCTGGACAAATAGTAATTTAATAAATGTAATTTGACAAATTTAATAAGTAACTGTTGGGAAATGGATAGATGGGTGGATGGGCGGGTGATCACTCACTCTGTGATCTTATCAACTTTATAATCCTTCATTTCTTTGAACCAGCCTAAAGCAAAAATCACCAGATACTTCATTGTTCTCTTTCTATATTGATCACATATGAATATTACTTTTTTCCTTTTCTTGTTTGCTTCCCAAATTGACTTCAGTAAAGGAAAATGCTCTGCTTCCCATTGTTTCTTCAGAAAAGCCCTGTGGAATCTACCTGTTGAAATAAGGATATCTAGCTGCTTCTACAACTTTAATTACTAAAAAAAGAAAAGATCCAATGCAACACTGAGAAATGTTATATATATATATATATATTTAAATGACTGCTTCTTATGAGAGAAGATAGTGTTGCATAACCAAGACCTGAAATTCAATTCTCATCTATGATAACTCTGGCTGTTTCAGTTATGTGAAATCATGTTCATCAACAATTTGACAGAGAAAAGCAAAAGAAAATTATTTCATGTCTTCTAACAGCTGCAGATTTGTGAGCAGAGAGCAAATGATAGGAGTATATTTGGATCAAAGTGTGAAGATGTGCTTAATTCTATTCCAACACTCATTCTCAGCCCCATTTTTAACATATAAGAATTCATTCTCATGTACATCAACCAGATCCAGACTTCCATGGGATTTACTAACATGAGGGATGGTGGAAGTTGTTAGGACATAAACCCTTACTCCAAATATCCAACCTACAAGATAAGTTTTCTAATTTATACAACACTCTATCCTATTTCAAGCATAAATAAAATATCTTTCTTTATTCCAAAATCAAGATATTCCATGGTGATAAGAATGAGAACCACCCATTCTGGTTTGGATGGTCTCCATTTTAAATGTTGTATAGGAAGATTATCCAAGTATACACCTACTTGTCAGGTTGTACTTCAATTTTTAATTTTGATCCCATGGTCAGCATAGCTGTGGGTCATAAACTAATTTTACCTATGATCCTGGCAATATCCTTCTCAATTTATATTTACTCAATAATCATATATCGATTAAAGATTTATTCATTCAGCCAATATTGCAAATATTTATTGTGTGCTTATTAGGTGTCAGGTACTGTGCCATGATTTGGAGACACAGTGAAAAACAAAATACAGTGTCAACCCTCTAGAAAAGAGGTCAACTAACTTTTCTGCAAAGGGCCAAGTAGTAAATCTTTTAGGCTTGTGGGCCATATTGTTTCTATCACAGCTATTCAACTGTGTCATTGTAATGGGAAAGCAGCCATAGGAATACAAACAAATGTGCCTGGTTGTGTTCCAATAAAACTTTATTTCAAAAAGCAGGTGGCAAGACTAGATGTGGCCCATCCATCATAGTTTTCCAACCCCTGTTGTAATTGCCTAGGGTCTACAGCAGTACCATCTAATAAGAATATAATGCAAGGCATAAATATGAGCCATATATATACTTTTAAACTTTCAATTAGACACACTTTGAAAAGTAAAAAGCAATAAGTGGGGTTAATTTTAATAATATGCTTTATTTGACTGGGTATATCCCAAATATTATCATGACAACATGTAAACAAGTACTTAAAAATTACTAGGCAACATACTAGATTTTTGAAATCTGATGTTTATTTTATATGCACAGCACCTTTCAACTCGTCCCAGTCACATTTCAAGTGCTCAGTAGCAGTGGTTAGTGACCACCATGTTACGCAGCCCAGGTCTAAACAGATGCATAATTGGTAGGGATAAGCATGAAGTATTTAGAGTGAACATTAAGGGGGAAAAGCCAACCTTATATCCATGGCGGTTACGGCTGGTGGTCAGGGAGAGTTTTTATAGAAAAGGTATCCAGCGTGAAGAACAGGAATTCCCTAGTTGAGGATAAAATAATGATTTTGAACAGAGGGGAAAATATGCATCAAAACCCTGAGAGGGGAAAAGGTGCAGCTTCTTAAAACAATTTAAAGCAGCTCCATATGTATAGTCAGGGTGGGTGGTGTGGACCCTGAGCTAAGGTAGTGGCATTGGGAATGGAGGGAGGTGACTTAGATGTGAAAGATATTAATGAGACAGAATTGACACAGCTTGGAGATGGATTGGACCTAGATCAGATGAGAAAGAAGGAAGCAGAAAGGATGATGTGGAGGGTTTTATCTTACACAGAACGCGAAGATGAAGCTATCATTTGTTGAGATGGGACATGCAGAAACAGGAGCAGAGTTGGGGAAAGGTGAAGAGTTCAGCCTTTGAGGCCTCAGGAAGATAGGCACAAAGATAACAAAAGACTTGCAAAAGCCACATCCATGTGCAGAACATGACTTCATGCTCAGGAACGCCTTTTATGGCAAGAGTTGCCCTCATGCTGCGAGCAAAAGTCTCTCTCCACGCTCCCTCCAACCTAAATTTTTCTCTAGTAGCTCTGCTACCACATGAAGGGCTAAAATCCTGATTCTGTTGGCCTAGAATGCTTGTTCATTCCCTTCTGTTTTACCTACATAGCTCCTGTTCATTTTCAGGTCTCAGTTTAAGTGCCACTTCTCAGGGAGACTTCTCAGATCCCCCAGATGATCCCCTTGCCACATAAATTCATGTATCTTTCCTCGGTGGCAGTTTTCACACTTGTAATTTCACAAGCATTTGTGTAATTATTTGATTATTGACTTTCTGTCTTGAAAATAAAGTTTAGTAAGCAAGAACTGTGTTTATTCTTGCTTGACACTGTGATACTACCCTCTGCCATTTACCTAGCACATCATAGAGGTTCAATAAATATTTGTGGAATGAATGAATATAATATTAAAAGTCACTGTTGAGATTCAAACTTATCTCAAAGACAGTGAACCTTAGCATGAATCAATACAATGGATTCCAATATTCATCCACAAATACAATCTGGCAAGACATATTAATTCTCTTTATTTTTCCATTGTTGAATCTAATTTTTATTTTTAATTCTTCATTTACAGCTGAGGTGGCAAAAAATTAATCTCAGACATTTTATGTTTCCTAACATTACTGGAGGCATTCAAAGTCCAGGAATCTTTTTCCTACTGAACATAGAAATTAGATCCCTAATTTCTCATAAGTTTTTTCTATAACTGGGGTTATGCCAAGAGTCTTCACCCTTTCTTTGAGGGGATCGGCTTTTAAAAACCACAGCCAAAA